TTAATTTTTAATTTAATTACTATCATTTGTTTAGTAGTGTGTGTGTGTGTGTGTGTGTGTGTGTGTGTGTGTGTGTGTGTGTGTGTGTATGTGTGTATGTGTGTTGCTGGAAAGCTCCTAATTTAAAATGTTTTAACCATAACAGACAAGATCAATCAACGAGTGAGTCGAGAATCTACATGACTATGTAACGTTATTCAGACAACATACAAATAATATGCAGTAATACCACTAACACGTCACATGCTTTGACATGAAGCTTGACTAATGGCACTTGACCAGAATGTTGTAAGAAATAAAATATAGGAGGTGGTTTTGTTCCTCTTTTGTCTACATGTGTATCAATAATAACAAATTTCAACCAAAAAGGTACTTATAAAAGGAAAAGTAGTTATAAAATACCTGAAGTTATTATAATCTTCTGGATTCTATTCTTTACAGATGTTAACAGCAAGTTCAAAATTAATAGAAAAAAATGACTCGTTATTTTCTAGAAAAACAAACTTCTTTCACATAATCTAGCACAATGCAAGTTTTCTCAAAAACTTTTTTCTATAATAAATAGATTTTTTTAAAAGGATAGACAAACAGAAGAATCAACACTTAAAACAGCAATAAAGACAGTAACATTCTTCCACTGACGTACAAGACTTGCAGACGGCCAAATACAAAATGATTCATCCGTCTACCAAAGTTATCTTTGGGAGGACTTACCGTTAAATTAGTTGTGTAATATATCAATATATGAATAACAAAGAAATAGTTCCAGATATAAACCCAAACTTTAAGTCTTGAGTTCAAAAACCAGCAAGAGAATACTGCTAGTAAAGTTTTATTCACTTACATCCTGCTACCTGATACTGATTGAAACAACACTATAATTTACGTGTTTTTAAATAAAATGGTATATCAATATAAAATATTCAACCACAGTTTTGGAAAAGTTAAGTCTAGAATCAAATGGCATAAGTTAGTACCTGTGAATATTTATACGTACATATAGTAACTAAAGCCACACTTGAACATAAAAAGAAAAAAAACACTTCCTCCACAGTATGTACAAAGAAACCAGCCATTTAAGTAAGACTAAATGTACTCATTAATAAAACGTTTTTTCAAAGTGAACAACCATGTCACTCTCTTTGCAAACAATTCCCAAAATCTCCTGTTTTAAGGACTTAATACCTATTTTACCAAAGACTAATAAACCCAAACATTTATCAAATATATCACAAGAACTATAAAATGCGAAAAATTATCAAATTCTTCATTCAGACAAATACCCACAAGCCAGTAGTAGGAGCTATTATAGTATTACTATAAAAACAGAAGAAAAATTTCATTCAGTAAGCTAGGTCGGATTAAAGTTTATTTTCTTTGCAAGTCAGTTCAAAAAAAGCACAACAAGAACTCGTTTATCCTAACTCTGTAACTATATATATATATA